GGACCATTTCCAGATTCAGTGGAACGGCCGTCCTCTCCGGGACCTTGACTTCAGGTGACCGGCTGAACGACGGAGTGTCTTCCTCTCTTGTCGGTGCAGTTTCTCAGCCTCCTGCTGCTTCTTCTGCTGTTCAGACTAAAAGAGAAGATTAAGCGAAGAGAGAAAGAGAGAAAACGCTAACACCCCTTTTTTGTAACCACCAGAATGCCAACAGCACGACCACCAATCACAGTCCTGCTGTGGGAGAAATGTGAGAGGCCTGTCCATGGACACTGCTCCAGCGGGGACAGCAGGATGAGGGCCAACCTTCACAGGGACAGTAAAACCTGAATTCTAAACCCAGGGGCAAGAGAAGGGCCCGGACACATCAGTGTGAACCACAAAGTCTGAGGCTGGCTTTTCAACCGACGCACAACACTCGTGTGGCGTTTTCAAAGGTACAGCCCCTCGCAAGAGAGCCAACTTAAGAAGATGCTACTGCTTTCAAAATGTCCACGACTTCTCTTGTAGAACTGTCATTTGTTTCTAAGCGAGCATCATTCATTAGTTTACTCACATTACCTTAAAAACAAAAACAAAAAATACTTCGGTGTACTAAAAATGTATAATAACCCACCCACGATAAAGCATCCAGTCAGCAGAGCTGGTTCCAAAGAATTTTTGGCTATTTCCAAAAAAACCAAACTCCCCTTGAAAGGCAGAGATCTACCATTAAATGCTAGGCAGACACATCCCAAGTTCATGGCTGGGATGAGCTCGTGGGTTCCAGGCTGGCTGCGTTAAAGGCACTGTTCTCAACACTCAGGGGAGAGCCAGATCCTCTCCAAACAGTTCCACTACTTTTAGCAGAAATTCTCAGAAGAGTATCAACGCTGAATCCACGATGGTGGTAAGAGTTGTGTAGTTTTAAAAACACATTTGAGGGTTTAGATAATACACACTACTAACTGTGAAGCTCAAAAACAGACAAACAAACTTAGCTGATGGAGCTGACAGGAGGTAAACTGGGAAAACCCTCGAAGGGCATAAGTTCTAAAGCTGAAAAGCACTGCCTTTCAGACCCCCTGCAGCCTGCCTGCCTATGGTCTGTACTTTCCTATGCACCTGAAAATATTTATTTGTCTTTCAGTCTTGAAGAGAAAGTCTCCATATTTACTTCCAGATAGTATTATTCAATATTTGAAAGTTAACGAGTTGGGAGGTGAGGGAATTGTGAGAAAGGAGCAATTTGTAAAAACCAAAAGGGGTGAATTACCCTATTCTAGGAAACTTTTACACAGAATTATTTCTTTTTCTGATTATCATCATCTTTTCAGAGCCTTTTCAAAGTCAAGCCTGCCGTGGATATTCCTCCTTTCCCCGTGCTCCACTCACGGCTCTGTCCTTCCAGGGGACCACGCAGGGGCCTGTTCCTCTCCCATCCTCTCAGTTTGCTACGCTTGCAATGGCCACAATGAGTTTTTAAAAATAAAAATGGTATGTCAATCTTCTGGTAACTGAAGCTTTTCAACAACTTTCCGCGATTCTTAGGATTGAGGTTAAAATTTAACACGCCCTCCTGACAAGGCCCTGCAGGACAGCTCCACGTGCACCTTCCCGGTTACATCTGATCCACAGTTTCCTTCCCCTTGACGGCTACTTCACACACGTAGGCTCCACAGGTGTCCCTCCCTGACACCACCCCCCAACCTCCCCTCCAGGTCAGGCCCCGACAGTCCCAGCCCTCGGTCCTCCCTGGGAGCCCTCACCACACTACAATGATGTCACTGTCTGTGTACCTCTCTCTGTAGACGGAGGACTGTGACAAGGACCAAGTCTGTCTTGTCCTGTGTGTCTGTGCACATGGCACAGAGCAAGTAGTACACATTCATCAATGGAAAACTCAGAAACCCCGAGGGAAACTGCACGCTCCTTAGCAGACAAAATAATGCTGTCATCAAGACTCTTGTAAAGTTAGTGAACACTGGTTACTTAATGTTTCGTTTCTTCCTGTTAAAAAGGATCTCCAAGACAAATGTTTCTTGCCCAAATAATTCTGGATGAGAAGTGGGGTACTAAGTAAAGGTAAACAGGGTGGGCTGCAGCTTTTGAGTTGAGGCTGTTACACGCCTCCAGTATGGGCACCAGTTGCAGATTTCCCTCACGTGTCTGCTGGCAAAGCAACCTTCCAGGAGTCCCTTACGCCGCCCAGAGTGCATTCTGGGAGGCCCTGCCCGACGGACCCCACAAAGGCTGGAGCCCACACAGGAGTTTGCAAGCAGCAATCGTCCTGCAGACAAGCCTCCGCCCAGAAAAAAAACTCTTCTTAGCCTCTCTCTGAACAGCGGATGCATTTGGAAGATGTCGCTGTCATGTGACTGATTCATTTTAAAAATAATATTAAAGCATAGTTTTTCTCCTTTTCACTTGATTCACATGTTAGAAAGTACACATGAAAACCTGGGGAAACTTGGGGTTCTACCTGAGTGTATCGCATGCCTAGTATAGAGAGAGATCGGTATCAGAAAATATACGTACAAACAAACCCTAAATGTCCTTAAATAAAACTAAGATTTAATAGTTAAAATTTCGTGAATCAAATGATAAAACTGGCCTAAGTCAAACCCCAGCTGATGTTCCCAAAGACAGTGTCAAAGCCTCTGCCAGACTCTACGAGGCTGTTTTAAGTGTTTCTTACTTAGTGCTTCTGTTTTTAGCAAAAACAAACAAACAAACAAAAAACAACAAAACAAAAACAGAGCCAGCTTATTTTCACTTTACCATGAATTACAAACTGATATTCAATTCAGTAGCTTCCCATTAAGAAAAAAAGGTGGGAAAGGAATGTGCTCGCATCCTCCTGAAAGCTCACCTGAGCAGTAGAGGGAGCGCCCAGCGGCCGGTACGGCCCCGAGGCCTCAGAAGTGCCCCCACAGCTGCCCTACGCCTGCCACCCACTTGGCGACCTGAACTTCAGAGGGGAACAGGAGACGTTTGAAACCACACAGAAAATTGCTAAGAAACCAGGTATACACAGTGAGTTACTCTGAACACACACCCAGTTTTGGTTTATTTAAGTGAGAAGTGAAAGAGTGCAAACTTGCTCTAAATGGAGAGAGATTTAACTGAAAAGTTTCTTATACTTAGAATAAAAACTTCTTTTGGGGGACAGAAAGAGGGCGAATTGGAGAAAGGTGGCCAGAAGGTACAAACTCCCAGCTATAAGACACAAGTACGAGGGACGTAACGTACACGTGACGACTACAGTTAATGCTGCTGTATTACCTACGTGAAAGCTGCCGAAAGAGTCAATCTGAAGAGTTCTCAGCACAAGGAAAAAGCAATTTTTTCTTCTAATTTTGCCTTTTCTTTCTATTGTATCTATATAAGATAATGGATACTAACTAAAAAAAAATGTTCTTATCATCTGCAAGCCTCTTGATGACATCAGAGAACTGTCACAGGATCAGAAGGAGTGGGCAGAGGATCTGAACAGACATTTCTCCAAAGAAAATATACAAATGGCCAGTGAGCTCATGAAAACATGCTCCACCATCCTTAGTTATCAGGAAGATGGAAATCATGTGTCCATGCAGAAACATCACCTGAATTTTCATAGCAGTATTATTCATAGCAAAAAAGAAAAGAAAAAAAGAAACAACCCAAAGGCCCATCAACAGATTAAAGGACAAACAAAATGTGATCTATCCACACAACGAAGTATTACTCAGTCACAAAAAGGAATAAAGTTCCTGTATATATTACAACACGGGTTAACCTTGAAAACATAAGGTGAAAGAAGCCAGATGCAAAAGAAAACATGTTGTATGATTCTACTTATATACAATGTTCAGAACAGGCAAATCCATAGGCTGGGGAGATGGGAGTGTGCAGGGAGACTGCAAAAGGGGGTTTCCTTTGTGGGGACGACGACGCTCCAGAGTCAGATAGTGGTACCGATCACACAGCTTAGTGACTATACTAAAAACCCAGAATTGTACACTTTTAAGAGGTGAACTTTATATGTGAATTGTATCTCAATTTTAAAAAAGAAACGGAGGTGGAGTCTTTGTCATTCTTTCCCTCCCAGTGACAAATATATTAAAGGAAACTAACTGAGAATAAATTTTTTTGAAGAATAAAACCATGCAGTTTCACTCATCAGTTAATAGCAAATATTTAAACCAGCTGATTCCTCCTTTAATACAGGCCAGGCATCGTTAAAACTGGCTAAAGAAACGACTCTTGTAAGTCAGCTGAGAATAGGACCTACTACTGACAGAAATTCTTCTGAAACGACACATCCTGGGCAAGCTGCTCTTACCGCCAGGAACGTCAGGAACTCACCAGTTCTTGAGTTTCTTTAAAGTCCACATAAGCTTCAACTATTCTTTTAAAGCCATATGTGGTCAGGACTTCCGCTTTACAAGGCCACATTTCAGGTGGCCCAGTGACCCAGAAACCACGCTGCTGGTTCCTCAGCAACAGTACCAGCTCTGGGGTCACCAGGGCCCTCGGGACACCGGAGACACGCCTGCTCTGCCAAAGCCAAGCAGCATGCTCTCAGCGCAGGAGGGGTTCTGGCAGTAAGGAAGATGCTCGAACAGGAACAGAAGCTTCCTCAGCAGGGGAAAAGCATGGGAAGGCAGTTCTGAGGTCAGACACAGACACACCACGACTGGAAGGCTAATTTTCTCCTGTGAACTAAAAAAGAACATTAAAAAGCAACTTACCTTCTTTAATGTAAATGTCAATTGTTTGCTGCCAACCGTGGTGTCGGATACACTCAATGTCCCATTTTTTGCTTCAAGTTTCAACCGATCTTCAAGGGTTTTACTGTAGGAAATTTAAGAGAATGACACATTAATTAGCATTATGTTTTGATTTGCCATTTGACACAAGTTTTAATTAGAACTGACTCTTTTACATGTGTGGTAAAGACAAAAAACGGCATTCATACAACACAATCAATGGAAAGAATCCCAAGCACTCAGTCATTACTCATACTCAATAGATGCGCAGTGAAAACAATGGCTGCCCCAAACACCCACTGATTTCATATTTTGAGTGGTGGTTCCACATATTTCAATGGTTGTTACTTACCTTACTAAATCATATTTCTGAAGCCAAAATACAAGGAGCAATATTCCTGAAGCCTGTAACTTTCTGCAATGGTCAGTGGCCCTTATGCTTCAAGAGCACTTGATATTTACACCACACATAAGTTAGGTATGTGAGTATTTCGGCAACTCATTCACCTTCTACAAAGGCGTGAACACAAATGAAGCCCTCCGGTCAAGCCACAGAGAAGTGCTTACGAGGATTCTGACTTTTCCTTTACTCGGGCTTAGCTCACTGGACTGGACTCAACACCCACAGTTGGAGCAACTTGGAACATGAAATCGTCTGATTACACAGAGAAAACAAAAGCAGTTACACTGAGGGTAAATGTTGAGTCAGCCCTATTCATTGTGACTTCTCCAGGTGTCTTTCCTTTCAGTCTCTTCCTTGAATTCCTCTTTCTGACACACTTTACCCCGAATTTAACTTTCATTTCATTTCTTGATCACGTTTTCCTAACTTTTCTAAGGTCTCTTTCTGTAATCTTTGTCCCTGTCATGGTTTGCTGTATGTGAACTGCAATTCAATGCCATCTGCAACAATCAAGATGTTAAACTTGAATCTGGTACCAGTTATACAGGACTTCATTGCATGTTTGTATAATAATGTTTTATTATAAAATAAGATCATTGTTAACTTGGTTTAGAGGGAAAAAACAGAATTAAGATAGACACATCCAGTAAGTTTTAATGTTAGCTCTAATCCTTCTAGAAAGGCTAAAAGCAACACCTTCATACCCCTAGGTTGAAACTAGGAGAGAGGAGAGGGAAGAAGAGAAGAATATGGTTTTCTCTTCTATTTGGTTCTCTCCTCAAAAAACAGTAAATGTACTTTCCAGTCCTCCTTGTACCAATTTAAAACTGAATGCACCCCTTTTAAAGTTAGTATTTGAAAAACCTGGTTGAATTAAAAAAGGGGGGTGCACTGTATGAAAGGGTCTTCTTTTTCCTGAAATACGATCTTTGTAACTAATTACTGAGTAGAACACAACTCCTAAATGATCCATTAAAGAGTGATGCTCCTTTGAAATTCTGAAGTCAATGTTTGATGTTCACACCCTGAGAGATCTAGCTCTGGTTTATGACTACCAGTAAGTACTAAATATACCTTCTTTATATAATTTGAGACATAAAGTGGTTAGCATAAAAGTGGCACTCTTTTCTAAGCAATAATGTTATTAAGAAGCACTTTTAAAGTACTTTTCATCTTCAAAGTTCTTAACAGACTAACTAATTAATCCTTTCAACATCCCTGAGACAGAAGTATTTATCCTTTACAGATGGCAAAAAGGCAGGGAAGATGTTCTATGCCTTGCCCCAGGCCACATAAGGATTTGAGTCTAAAACCAGGATTCCAATCTAAGAATTTCTGCTTTCCAGGTGTGTGTCAGACCATGGTTGATTTATAAGGTTTTGTTACAGAAATGTATTAGTATTCTAAATGACAAGCTTTCACATGACAATGAAATCAAGATTTGGTTTTGCCTTTAAAAAAAAACAAGAATTCACAAGTGAAGTGTAAACCAACTCCAGCATGCGTGTGACTCATGCCAGCCTAAGCACATTCCTCCAGCCGTCCATTTCATTTTTGTTCCTTCCTTTCAGAGCTATAAACTGTGAGATTTTAATTCTGAATAACTCTGGAGCCACTGAGACAAGGTGATACACAGAAAACACTAATTTGCGAAGAAAAAGACTTTTCAAGTCAATTGTGGGAAATTACTACTCTTTTAAGGATGACCTATTTCCTCGTGATGGGGTGCAGGCGCTCTGGTCTCCTCTCAGTGCACCTTGACGTGCACTTGCAGAAACTTGTTCTGTCTCGGCTCCTTGGAGAGACAGCTGAGCTTTAGAAGGAGCCGTGGCAAGAGATCAGACAGGTCGAGGGAGAGATTTCTACATGAAAGCAAGTTCCACTTCCCTCCCTTCACAGTCAGCTCTGGAACGCAGAGTTCCACAGCCTGCTACCACTCCGGCAGAGAGGAGTCAAGAAGTCAGACACCTGAAAACCGTCTACCGTAACGGAAGAGGAAAAGGCAGAAAACCCTGCCCGTCCTTCTTGGTGATTCACTCAGGACCGGTGGGCCCATGCGGGAGGCGGGAAGGGGCTGGCCTGCCCCATCCTGTCCCTTCTCCTGTCCTGGCTCAGGTCGGCTGGCTTTTGGCTACTTTGTCATTGATAGCAAAGAATTTTAAGGAAAAATGACCTCACTGATACAAGATGAACAACGTGCACCCTCCCTCCCCACATTTGTGGGGATTGCTAAGGTGACAGATTCAGGCTTTAGAAGGTGAAAAGCGGGAGTAATTACTCAGTGCAGGATGGGGAGACCATTTGAGGAAGAACCTAAATTATCAGTAGGGCTTTACTGAAAGAAAAAAAGAAAGATGGGCACACACTACAAGGGGAAAAAATCAAATCAGAGACTCAATAGACATCCCACAGTGGCTGAATGATACACTTCTTTGAGGCTTTAAAACACACACGAGCTAACATTTAATTAAAAGTAACGCTCCTCAGGAGGTGGGTAGAGCTCAGTGGTAGAGCACATGCTTAGCTTGCTCGAGGTCCTGGGTTCAGTATCTAGTACCTCCACTAAAAAAAGAAAAAATTTTAAAAAGTAATGCTCTTCAACTGAGTTTTAAAAATCACTTGGTGAGGAAAAGGAAGTAGGGGAGTGGAAAATATACATCAGGGCACCTGCTTTAGTACAGCACTGAGAAGGATTAAATTAACCTAAAAGAAAGGAACCACCTACATCAAAGGGAGTAAGAAGAGAATGGAGAAATGGAATCCACAGATAAATGGTGAATTTTAAGTACTTAAAAATGTTAAGTACTTTGTTTTAAGTCTACAACTTTGATAAATATTTACACACACTGCAAAAGTTACTGAAAACTATTTCAGTGCTTTCAGTTTGCATAATGTTGCTTCAAAGCCTCAGGAAATGTAAGCACAAGCAATCATGAGATCTGCTGTCTCAACTTTCCGAACAGTTAAAAATTTAAAAGATTCCTAATACCCACTGCTGCTGCAAATGCGGGGAAACAGGCACCCTGGCAAGAGTGCAAAGGCCCCAAGGCCTTTCTGGAGGGCGACTTGGCCGTATTGCTCACACGCTTCTTTTGATCCAGCAAATTTCATCACTAGGTAATATATTCTAAAGAAACTCTTGCACATGTGTACATATTTATAACTGTGAAAAAAGGAAGAGAAAAACAAGAAACAACTGAAACATCCAAAATTAGATATTATGGCTCAACCATCTTAGGAAGTATTTATGCAGCCATAAGGGGACCTCCATGCACTTACAAAGAAAAATTTTCAAAATTTACTGTTCAATGAAAAGAGCAAGTGAATCAGCAACATCATCAGTATGATCTGTTCACACCAAAGACAGGAGAGCTACAACTGTACAGGTGAGTGGGCGCATACGCGAGGGTGACCGAATTCTAAAAGGACACCCAAAGTGGTTACCTTGGGGTGGGGGGGGAGTGTGGGCTGGGAGACTCTCACCCTTCATCTTGTGTTCTTGAGCATTACAACAATGACATGCTTGCATATGATAATGATAAGATGCTTGTATATTACAATGATATGCTTGTATATTACTTGAGTAATAAAAGATTCTTGTCTTTTAAAGCGTGGGTTTGGAATTAAACTGCTTTCAAAAAATTAGACTTTAAAAATGCTTGTATTAAATCAAGGCTGCATTCCTTCAGTTCTTATCCACTATCAGTGAGGAAAATTAGCTGAAGAGTAAAAACTGGCCATCATTGTTTAATTCAGAGTGGATAATGTTGCAGACATGGTAAGTGGCTCACCAAGAGCTACTAAAGTACCCGGTGAAGAAGCTGTGAGTTCCTCAAAGGCAGAAAGTGGCTCAGAAATCTTTGAATTTCCAGGACCTACCACAGGGTAGGCGCTTCAAAGAATGTTTTCATGAACTGAACTGAAAGGGCCACCCAGCAGGCAGTATTTATTACCCAAGAAGAGGGGATCTCCTCAGCTACTGATTTAGAAAGTTATTCCAAGGTCTCTTTCTCCAGGGTTTTCCAACAGATTATCTCCAACACTTTCATCATGCATTGCAGACCACTGCTGCCCCACATAGCAGGAGAGGCTCATGTGCCCAGATTCCTGACTGAAGCCAGCAAGCGTGAACTTCCCAGTCTTTCTATCTATAACTGTAATTATTCCCACCCATCCTGACTTCTTTCCCTTGTCTCTGAAGAGCTCTTTAACGGGTGCTCCTGACCCTGTTCACTCCCGATCACTCACTCAGTTCAGTTCTGCCCATTCAGTCCAATTTCTCATTTCTTCCCTCTCCCCTTTCCTTCTGTGGTTACTTTCTCTCTAGATATACTAACAAGTCATATCTCTCAAGCCTAAAAAGCCTTTCTTACCAAGTTATGGCTTTGATTCCTTTCACTGCCTAATGTCTCAAAAGAACCATCTTGACTAATTATTCACAGTATGTTTTTACATCTCTCATTCATCAATCCACTGCAGTGAGACATAGGGCTGAAGGACTGAGACATGAATCCCAACAAGACCATCTTCCTACGGCCTTGCTCAGCTTCCATTCTGCGGGCCCCCCTGCTCCATCTGTGTCACACTTCTCTCTCTGACATTCTCTTGGCTCTTTCCAGTTTTCCTACTAACTTTTGGGCAACTCCTTAATAATGTTAACTGCCCATCTTCTCCTTCACCGGCGCCCGACATCAGAATTCTATTGCTACTGGTATTGGTATATTCTTGACACCTCTACAATATGTATTACTTTGCGTGCATTTGCACATTTTTAGAGAGGTGTATGGTTTTCATCACACACTCAAAAATATTTGTTGTTAACCAAGGACTCTACTCTTAGCCCTCATCTCCCTCAGCACACTTATAGGAAGCCTTTTTAACACAGTGGTTTCAGTCCCACAAGGACGTTGGTATCTTTCTTAAATCAGTATATCCGGGCCACCTCTTACATTTCCATTTGTCTACTGAACATTACCAGGAAAACATTTGGTCCTGTAGACTTAATGTGCTGAACACCCAGCTCAATACTTTTAGCTTTAAACTTGTTTTTTATTCTGTATTCTTTATCTCAACATTGCTAGACATTTCAACCTCACCTCTGACCATTCATTTCTCCATTAATATTAAATGAGTAACCAGACAATGTTGTAGTGTGTCTCATCTTAGACCTTCTTATGAATAACTTGGTTCTAAGTCTGTCTGCCCTTCTCCGCCCAGCAGTTCAGGCTTTCATCACTTCCCACTGGAACTAGTTTGTTAACTGGTCTCATGTGCCCAGTTTCTCCCTGCATCTTCTAAAACTGAGGTATTTTAATAACAGTTTCTGGAAAATAGGGGCTTTTTATATCTGTATGTTTTTATTTTTACTTTCTACAACCAACAAATACTGCTTTTATTGTGTAAGTATTTACATAATTGGGGGGGAGACAGAATAGACTTGATCATGTTGATCTTAGCTCACGACCCTTCCCTGGCTAGCCAGGGCCTGGCTCTGGGACCAATGCGCCTTTCGGGCTCACCTTCTGCTCTGGCCACCTCCTCCATGCTCTCGAGCTCTTCCCTCAACTTTCACACAGCACTCCTCCATCCATGCCGCTCCCTCTGCCTTGAAGAACATCTCTCCCACCCTGCTTTCAGTGCTCGTCTTTTTTCTTTCAAAAGACCCGGCTGAATATGATCTCTTACAAAGACTTCCCTAGATGTCTAAAAATCCACTCCTGTCTTTCTTAGACACGTCCCCACACCTCTGACTGGCTCACAGAGCATCAACCAGGGCGGCAAGGCCACGGCACGGTAGCTGGCTTTTCCTTTCCATCCCCTGGGCCTAGAACAGCACTCTGTTCACACAAAGAACTCAATGGATGTTTGATTGATGAATGGGTGGGTGGAGAGGCTGACAGGTGGATGAATAAACTCACGAATCAAGCACTGTAAGGCATATAAAAATGTGCTGACAGACATGTGTATTTATCTAAAGCCATGTTACTATGCCAAGCAAAGAAGAGAACTTTGGGATTCATTCTTCACTTTTCCCTTCATAGAAAAATAGTTAGGATTCATTCTTCACTTTTCCCTTCATAGAAAAATAGTTTTGAGGCTGGGCAAGTTCAAGGGTACTTTTAAACATAATACACCCGATTCTGATGTGCTTTATTGATTGCCTTGTAGTGACTTGCAGAAAAAACATAAGGAGTCACTTTAACTGTCTGAAGGATAATGGTTCAATATTCATTAAATAATATTAAAATATTGCAAGGTTCAGGATTTGCCAAAATAATCCATCAATACTAGAATTCAATAAGCAGTTTGTGCCAGAATGCCAGCAAACTGCAGGCTATTCATACCAAAGGGTTATTACTTTAAGCGGTAGGATTTTTCTTCTAAGTTCATGTAAGTATCATCACTCAGATAACTCATCTTCTCAAAAAAATTGCTTAACTTAGTAAGAATGTGTAATTGCAGTGTGTTAACTTAGCTATTATTTATTCATTACATACTAAATTTTCAACCCTTTTGTGTTTTACATTAATATCCTACTACAACCCACAGCAAAACAAGAATGTTCGTGAGTTAATTCATGCCTCTCACCCCCAAATCATGACTTTCTGTTACCATGGTTACACTGAAAACTGCTGCTCCCAGGTTTCCCTGGTCAGTGGGTTGGGGGTAAATAAGTTCTTTTTCAGCAGATCGTGAAATGGTAACTTCCAGACCTGCCTGACATGTAGCCAAGGCACAGAAGATTCACACTTTAGTAAGGATTTATCGAGTGTCTACCCAGGTCTAGGGACTAATTCAGGAACTAGGGATAAAGTAAATAGCGCAAGACAAAGCCTGTAGATAATCTAATAAAAAAAATTGCACTCCACAGAATCGGAATACTGGAAACAAGCAGTCTTTTCGCTGCTTCTGAGTAGGACTCCAAATAAAAATCTAAGAACAACAGCTACATAAAAAGTGAGGTTGCACACACTGCTGCTGGGAATGTAAAATGCAGAAGCCTCCTTGGAAAACAGTTTGGCAGTTTCTCAGAAAGTCAGACATAAAGTTACCGTGTGTAGCCAGGAGACAGGAAAACATATGTCAATGCAAACATTTACACACAAATGTCCACAGCAACACTATTCACGATAGCCAGAAAGTGCAAACAACCCAAATATCCATAAACTGATAAATGAATGAATACAATATATACAATACAATACGCCCTGAAATATTACTTGGCAATAAAAACGAATGAAGTACTGACATATGCTACAACATGGATGAACACTAAAGACGCTGTGCTAAGTAAAAGCAGTCAGACAAAACGCTACCTATTGTATGATTCCATTTACATGAAATGTCAGAATAGGCAAATGTATAGAGACAGAGAATGGATTAGTGGTTGCTTGGGGATGGGAGGTGGGGGTAAATGGGAGTAAATGCTAATGGGGTAAGGAATTTTGTTTGTGGATAAGGAAAATGTTCTAAAACTGATAGTGGTGATGGTTGCACAAAACTCTGTGAATATACTAAAAACCAATAAATTGCACACTTTAACTAGGTGAATTGTATGTTACATAAATTATATTTCAAGAAAGGTGTTATAAAAAAGAGTGAGGCTGGTAGGTAAAAAAAATTTCTTCAGAAGATACTAGATTCTTTGCATCTTTTGTGAGTCAGAATCAGAACTTCTAGATGATCCTAGATCTAAGGTGAAGGATTCACTCAACATTTGGTGTCCCAGATTTGCTAAAACTGGCAAAATAAAGATGAATAAGCATATCTCTTTCCAGAAACAATTCAGCCCATCCATCGAAGTTCCCCCCCTCGGACACTTCCTCTGTCTGAAAAACCACATTTTTCTAAATGGGGAGCTGGGAGCTCAAAAAGCATAGGTACAGAACTAGCACCGGCTGACCTAACACCTCATCTGCCTGCCCGCCTCTTCCTCCTCCATCTTCCTGGGCTCCCTAGGCCTCCAGGCTCTTCTTTCAAGATCATCTACTCTATTCCCATTCAGATCTTCCGTATCAATACTCAGCCTAGAAACTCTCAAAGCGGAGACTTACACGACTTAGAGCTTACACACATTTTGGACCTGAGTACCTAGCTTGTTCCTAACTTAGACACCTGACAGCTATAACTGTCCAAATAATATTGTTTTTAAAGTTGATTTTTTTTATTGTGGTAAAGTATGTATAACATAAAACATCATTTTAACCATTTTTAAGTGACTAGTTCAGCGGACACTCACTGTTGTGCAGCCATTACCACCACCCATTTCTAGAATGTTCTCATCATTCCAAATTGACACTCGTACCTCCTTAAGTGATGGCTCACCCCTCCAACCCCTGGCAACCACCATTCTACTTTCTGCCTCTCTGTATCTGACTATTCCAGAATACCACTTTTTCTGATCTCTCAATGTATCTACAAAAGGCTTAGAATTTCTAGCAAAATTTCCAAGTGATCTTTTTAATAATCGTGTAAACTAAGATGAGCGTAAACGTAACTGAAATTCTAATTTTTAAAAACAACTTTTTGTTAAAGAAGTGATTATCTCTTAATTACGACTATAATTTAAGAGTGTGGCTTCTGCAGGATAAAAATGCTCTAATGTGTGTATTTACCAATACTCAGGGGGCCAGACCCCGTTATCTTATGTATGTAACCACACCTCAAAACGCTGTTAAAAATAATCACAATAGAGACCAGCGTATTTCCCCTCAGGCCTTGTGGTCCTTCCCTCACATTTACTCCCAAGATCCAAATGCCACCCTGAGGGCAAGGTGCCGGGCGAGGAAAAGGAAAGCTGGGCCACCACCTGGAGCCACCACTGAGGGCAGCATTACTTACTTCATTAGCTTCTGCTTTGTGGCAGAATCTTTGAAGCTTCTGAATTCTTCGCCTGCTTTGATCTCATAAAACTGGGGCTTGAGGACCGTCTGCTGGTCCTCCTTGAGTCGTTCCTGACGCTTCACTTTTTCCTCCTGTTGGAGAAGTCGGCGCTGTTTCCTGACCTCTTCAACCCAGTCCTTTTCATCATCTGAACTCTCAGAACTTTCTGCATCACTTGGTTTTCCTTCCGGTTCTTCCTCCTCTTCCTGAAAATAAAAATAGTAAGAAGCAGCTCCTTTCCCCAACCAAAAACACTGATCCATTATTTTCTTTTAAATAGCATTAGCCCATTAGAGCATGTGACATTGCATGCATCAGGAAAAAAATGTCTTTAATTAAATAAGATACATTCCTAAGCTAAAGGTCAAACAAATTCCAGTTCAAGTTAACTCAAAGACTCTTCTAACTTAGACAGAAAACTTTAAACAAACAGGAGCATATTCTAAATGATATAGAGAACATTACTTTTTCACGAAGTTCCTGTTGCTCTAAGAGTCTTAGCTTCTTCTTCCTTTTTTCACTAATTTTGGAAACAAGTGGATTCAAAAGCCTAAATTCTTCACTCTCTTCATCTACTTGGAAGTCAGGGTTCTCGAACATAACTTTAAATCGATCATCAGAGAGAATATTAGGAAGGCTCTGTAAGACAAAGAATGCAAAATTTAAAGTTAATATCAATAAAATCTGACCAGAAAGATGGCTTAAAAACAGTTCATTCAATAATAAGTTAAGAAGCTGCATAAGGCATAATTTACATAAATTATTACAAAATTTTTTAGAACCAGTTTCCAGAACTTTCTAATTCCTTATCTCTTACCCACAAACAAATTCTATTAATCTATTTCACGAAAATACGTATTACTTGGCCATTACACATAATGAACTAAGAATGAGACTTTTGGGCTAACTTTAAGCCTAATAGAGTAGAAAGAATTTTCTTCAATTAAAATTTTTTGATGCAAAACATTTTTCAAGGAAAGTTATGTGTTTGAAACATGGCTTTTTAAACATAGCTATTGTACTGAACGAAAATTACTGAATCTTTTGACTGCATATTCAAAAACTGGGAGAGGAACTACACATTGATAGTAAGTCAAGAATTAACACGGTGGGGAGCTGGTGGTGTAAGTTTACTGCCTCCAATTGAGTTATTTGGAAACATAAGGGATATTTCCTTCCCTTATTGGATAGCCTCATCCATTTTTTTTCTCTCTAGGCCATTTAATTTTGGGTGATTAGGATGTGCTAATGTAGGTTTACCGATTGTAACAAATGTCCCCTCTGCTAGGGGAATATTCAGTAGTGGGGGGAGATTACGCAGGTGTGGGGACAGAGGGTATATGGGAAATCTCTTACCTTCCCCTCAATTTTGCTATGAACCTAAAACTATTCTAAAAAATTTAAGTCTTAAAAAAAATCCAGTGATTGAGAAAAGTTAACAGGGAAAAAAAAGAAGTTATGTTCCGTTTAAGACTGGTTAGGTCTATGGCACAAGGAGACTGACATCAGGATTCTGACAGACACCATTAGGTGCCTGCAACGAGACACCGGGTCTCAGGAGAGAAGGCAGGGGCTACAATGGATAAATTCTGGAGTTATCTGTAAGTACAGGATAGGTGATATTGCTGAAGACCCAAATATTTTCAAATGAACAGCTATTAGAATCTAGGTTAAAAGAAATACATATACAAAACCCAAGGGAAATCTTTTCTTTTTCATCTTACTGTACTTATTAAATAACCATATTTAATAAACAACAGAGAAACATGTTAAGAAAGAATATGTTGCTAGTATTTTTTCCCCCTTAATTTAAAACAAATAAATTGCACTGCCTAAAGACAAGTATGCCTTGGATGAACAAATATAAAATAAAAACTTCTAACCTAGCTGTAAAAATATTTCCCCCAGAGATTTTTCCTAGTCTGTTTGTTTTCACAGCTGTCTTTAAAAAAAAAAGCAGGATGAGATGTAAGTAGCAATGTTCTACAGCAGTTTACAAGTGTCTGGTTCGTCACCTGCCCTGTACATACACATGTACAGATGCTAAACACTTGCCATTAAAATTTGGAAAACATCTTAAAAGTATTGCTCATACCACAGCCCTGCTTCAAAGAAGTATATTATGATACCTATGAAATTAAGGCAATGCAGACTTCTGAGTAAAGATGGTGGTCTGAACACAAGCATCTCCTTCTAATCTCCACTAAAACCCCATGAAAACAATAGAAAGGGGACTTAAAAAAAGACAACACAAACCCTTAAGGATGAGAAGGATATGAAACGGACCCACCCACTTGAACCGCAGGCTTCTCTGGAGGGGAGGAGGTGGCCAGTGGGGGCCGCAAGGCAAGAAGGGAAGCATCCAGACACGAGGGGCTGAGATGCCACCTCACCCCACACCCCAAGCCCTCCTGATGATAGTTCTCAGCCCTCAGAACCCTGGCAGCCAAGCCGTCACTCTCGAAGCAGGAGGATCTGGCCAGGCAAGAGAAAAACTGAAGAGATCCTGCCATTTGGCACCTCCCCAGGTAAACAGCTCGGCCAGGTCGGCACACAGGGACTGATGAGCCCTGTCTCCACCTCAGAGCTTCCACTCAAGATTATGACTATGGATCATAGCAGCGAAAAACTACTTAAAACATTTTTTTTTCCCCAAGAAAATGTCCCAGCACTGAAGAACCGAAGTCCCTGGAGCAAAAGGGCCTGCCGGGAGGCCAGCACTGCGGGCCGGGTCTCTGGATGGAAGACGGCCCCCAGCATGGCACAGAGCCAGCGCCGGGGACTTCCTCAGACTCTTCCTCCTTCTGGCCTGACTCGTGTATCCTGGAGGAGAAAATCCTAAGGAACTTCCTGAGGAAAAGTAGCATGTCGGGGTAATGTGTCGCTGCGGCTGCTGAGAACGTGCGTGCTTGCAAATCTCTTCACTATACCCTACAATGAATGCTTGTCTGGGCTGGAAACAATATTCCTTCAGAAAACTGAAAGTCCTTTATAATCTGTGTCTCACATGGGCGTGAGGTGGAGTGAATTGCCAGGATGCTGGCTGAGAACCAGGATTTGAAGATGACGGTTCTGGAATGGAGCTGGCAGGAAGATGTCAAAGAGACTTCTTGAAGAAAGTAAAATTAATCTGACAACTGATCTTCATATAACTATCCTGAGATGAGATTTAGACAACTGGTAAAGAATTGAGAGTTAACTAGTGATAATTACACAGAAAGCTAACAAAAAGTCAACTACTCAGTGCAGGAAGACTAAGGCTGCGCAGGAAATATGACTCCAACTCAGGTGGTAAGGAGTATTTGCATACTTGTAACCAAATAAATGCTGAATACTGCCTTACCCAAAATCACAAGATAATTTTACTAGAAGGGAAGGTTATCGAAAAGCAGTGCCTAACATTTAAAAAGTCAAAAAGCACCATTATGGGCAATAGTAAGAGACAAGAGTTCTACACCAAAATAATCAGCTGGAAAGGCAAAAGTGTCAGGAGATGTGAAAATAGGAGATGGAGGAGAGGCGGTTACAGAGAAGGACAGAGGGATAGCTGACAAACAAAAACATTATCTTTAATTGGTACTAAAAGGCCTTAAAAATAATATTTTGGATGTTAAAACCGATCTAATCTGACCCAGCATCTGTGCATGATTACACGTTTCCCTAGCGAGATGAATAATGACTTGTATACAAACTGCTCATGGTACAGAATAATCCCTGAGGCTGTTAAGACATCTATCCAGGGTCCCCAGGCCACAGAACCCACTCGGCCTGCAGATGGGACATGACAATGCCTGGCTCAGCTGCTGCAGAATCCCAGGAAAGTCCGTTCATAAAAGACTTCAAAGCAACAGTGAAAATTTGGTAGAAAAGGCCAACAGGCAAGAAATGGCACTTGTAAAAAGAAGTGGTTCAAACAACTACTCGGACCCTTACAAGTCAAATGGGTCACCATTTGCATGCCTCTGCTTCTGCACCCTGAGAGCTCAATACGTATTTGCTGAGAGAGTAAGTGAATCAATTAGAATTATTATCACCAAATGTCTAAGTTGGGATATGGTCCAGATACTGCTTCTTGACATTATGCAGTGAGTCATTTGCCACTGTAGGTCCAACATCATCAACTCAATGGTAAACATCTTATTAGAATCTAATTCTGTTGTCAGTGGTAGCAATATCTGGGAACATATTTCACTGTCTGCCTCCATGAAATTTCATTTGGAGCCAAAGTAGATCATAACTGCACCATAGAGACTTTCAAATCAGGAGTTATCAGAGCTATTAAAGCTCTCGAGGGTTTGAAGAGCTGAGTTCAAAGGCAAGACTAATGAACTGCTGATGGATTTAACAATTCTTTCAAGTATTCTTACAATTATAATGAAGGATTCTTTCCTTAATTCATGAATGGTTTTTAAGGTCATTTTAATTAGATAAAACTGTTAAACAACAAATCATACAAACTGTCTAGTAACAGCATCAGATTTTTTGATGACTATATTTAAGTATTTCTGGAAAGAAACTGAGCTCTGATAAAGGGGTCTGATTTGGGTCATCAAGCCTCTAAAAAGCAAACCAGGAGCACGTTTTACAAACATGACTTTCTAGCAGGATTCTATAGTTTACACAGCCACAAACACCATGCTTCCAGCTTCCAACAGCTGAGGGGAAACGACTGCTGGACAGGGGGAGATGAGGGTTTCTAGGGCTCCTCCTTCTTGCACTTGCAGCAGAAGCAGTGCACGTCTGACGGTTCCTTAGCGGATGACCCTATTAATGTTCTGACCAAAACTGTTTAAAAGGCATAGACAACCATGATTTTCCCTTTGACTCTGCAGATCACTGAGCACGGTTTCAGCTCTCGTGGTTGTTTTCACCATCCTGCACCACCGTGCAGCACGGACAGCCAGTGGTCTACATCTCTGGCCACCCTTAACCTCAACAGAAGTCTGTGAAACAAAGGGGGGATGGTGAGGAAAGGGGGCTTTCCCCACATCTTCATAATCATGTAAGATCTTTTAAAAAGGCTCCTGAAGTGTGTATACCATGCAGCATACACAATCAAAATTAAATTTTAATTTAAGTGTCCTACTCTCTGTAATATTAAATGTAATAAAGACTCATAAGCATAAAACACAGACAGGCCTGAGTACATTTGCAGCCTAAATCAGCTCCTCTCTCTTCCTCCTGAAGCTGGAAGGCATGATCCAAAGATCACTTTCATTACACTTGCAGAATGACATTACGAAGCTGAAAGGTTACCTCCCTAATCCTCCTCAGGCTAGGCTAACGAGAAAATTAATGTGAATACTCTGAGGAGAAACTCACGGTACCTGGAAGCACTTACATTTTAAACATTTTAAGGAAAAAAATATATATATACATTTAGTATATACATAAACACATTGATGTAAATTAGAAGGTGCACAGCCATAGCACATAGATATGTAAATTTATATAACAGGCTTAAGTAATTGTCTCAATACTGTCATACTATTCATGTAATGAAAATGGAAACATAAAAGCCATCTATATATTTATTCGTGTATTTACATAAGGAAGGCTTCTACAAGAGTTAAACAATACATTAAGAAGACATAACAGAGCATGATAAGAAGATTGCAAAAGGCTGAGGAAGCAGAGGATGACACAGGGAGCAGGAAGTGTGAACCCACTGAGAAAGCTCAGCACCAAGAATGCCTCTCCCTGCTCCTATCCTGGCATCTTAACAGACGAAAACGCTATGACCCAGTGAAGCTGAGGGTTGCCCACGATGACATAACGAGTTAGTAAGGGGGCCAGACACAAGACCCTTCAGCTGCAGTCCCCTGCCGTGGTAGGGGAGACTGGTACAAAAATAAACACACGAAGAGCTCACTTATCTCCCATTCACTTACCTGGGTAAAAACTAGAGAGAGAACAGAGAAAGCCTAAGCAAGCACACAAAGCCTCCCGGGAGCGCCACACCGCTGGCCCAGGTACCAGGTTGGGCCATGTACCCGGGCAGGTCCGGCAGGCTCTCAGGAGAGAGCTGATCTCTGCAGCTCAATCCAGAGAGGAGCCCAGCCTGGCCATCTGTCTGCCTGATCCAAGCAGCACTGGGGAGGAATGAGGAAGCCCTCACGTATTTGGGAAAATTAGAAAAATCTCCTCCTGTCTTGACAACATCAGCGTCACCTTTATGGAGGTTATGACCAATCCTGGTCTATTCCACAGCAGTAAAGGAGGACAGACAGTGGTCATTTGTAAGAGTGCACATTCCCGATCGTCCCAGGTCTAAACGAAAACTAGTCACTTCCAAAGTTATAAACAAACTACTTTGACAATAAGTAATAAGCAATCTAAATATTTAACAGAAAAAAAACAATTTAAAATACATCCACAAGACAGAATATGAAGCTCTCAAAAATATTTATAAGAATTTTTAATAAAATGGGAAGCCACTTGTGTTATTTTATAGAACTAGGATAAATACTTTACATATACAATATGATACAATAGTATCCTGCTATCAGAGTTTATAATTTTAAGAGAAATAAGGCAGGAAGGATGGGAAGGAATCTGAGAAAGAAAAAAATTACACATACACATATATATCTGAATCACTCTGCTGTACACCAGAAAATAACACAACATTGTAAATCAACTATACTTTAATAAAAATAAATGAATAAAAACAAACCAGAAAAAGACAGGAAGGAAATTCACTAACATATTAATGATGCCTTTCCCTGGCAGAATTGTATGAGTGACTATATTCTTTTTTATTTTACAAACTTCCCATACTGAGCATATACTATCTTACAAGCAAGAAAAAAAAAGAGAAAGAAAGAAAGAAAGAAAACTAAATGCATTTTAAACTGAAAAGAAAAAAGATACAAGTTATTATCCAAAAAATATGAAGAAACGATCAACATTTTCTCTGGCTTATAAAATCTTACCTTAATTTTCTTTCTCCATGTAGATTTTTGCTTCTCCTCCTCTTCCTCAATTAATTTAAGTGCCAGCTCTTTGTTCACTTTTGGCAATTTCTAGTAGAGAAAAAAAAAAGCTGTACTGAAACACCTGTAATTCAACTTTAAAGGTTAAAGTGAAGAGCAGGAACAAAAGTCCTCCAAGTCCCAGTCTACCCTGGCCAACACATACACATTCACCACTTTTAAAAACTTAACAAATAATCTGGAAAAAGGAAAAACCTGTCACTAGTCTCTTGTACTGAAAGCATGAGTGTGTGTGTATGTGTTTTAACCAATGCTCAGTTAGAAGTGACTGTATTTCTTGGTAGTTAATCTTAATCAAGACTGGAAGCGGGAGAAGGAGATGGGTCTGCCCTTTCCTGTCGGCGTGCTGCTGGGCTGATGTCCCACGTCAACAGTTCTCTGCCTCGGTGACAACAGGTGGCCCCAGCAGAGGGGGAGCCCAGTCTGAGGTTTCCCACTTGCCCAGGAACAGCCTCCTTCCACCTGGAGGACCCCACTGCCAGCTGTTCGTCCTCCTCAGAGTCTGGACTCTGCTCAGCAGGCTGCCTCCTTCCGGCTGCCCCGGCCGCTGCCTCTCTTATCAATACCTCAGTGTCTCCGCCCTTTCAGTCTCTAATACCTGGCAACAATTCTTTACATTAAATTCCTCTATTAATAGAACTAGTGTGGTCTGACTCTTGTCTGGACCCTGACATAGTCTAATGACCTCTTCCCATGATCCAAGCAGCTAGCCTAAGATGTGAGCAAGTATCAGTAAGAAATGGGATTAGCAGAGCCACAAAACTCCAAAATCTAAACTTATTTGAAAACAGCATCAGATTTTCTTTGTAGAGCTGACTGTATCAGTTCACCTGGTATTATTTTCGACAATGACATTAGCACAGAGTCCACAATGATACAACTGTAGAGTATCCACCTTCACAACAAAATAAAATATCAAAAGTATTAATAAAAGATGTAAACTAAGGATGGAGAAACTAAGAAATGGACGGCAGCTTTCTTTGAATAATAAACAAAATGAAAACAAAGTGCTCTCTTCTCTAGTAAATTCGACGATGAGTCAAGATTTACCTTTAATTGGACTCTCTGTGCACGTGTTTCTTCTATCTTCTGTCGAATCTTATCTTTCCTATATTCTTCATAAGCAAATGGATTTACCATCAATTTCACCTTTACAAAGTGAAAAAAATTAAAAATAAGGGAATTGTATTTAGCAGCATGTTTCATATACACCATGAATATTAAGCCAAAGAATAGACAGATTTCTTATTACAAATCTTAGGTATGTTTTACTGAAATGCAAGCAAGTAGAAAAGAAATGGCTATAGACTGCTCCTGAGTCACCTAAACGACTGCAGTTCTGTATTTACCTTGTGATAGAGTCTTATGTCCATGAAAAATCCATGCATATATGCCCGGAGAAAAGGTGATCCGATGAGATGTGTGAGCCCTGGGAAAAGTTAATCAGGAGAGGGCAGGCCCTTGTGAAATCTTGATTAAAATTCAACAATTTTTCATGGACAATTTGACTATAATTTCACTTCTGAGTAAAAATTTAAGGATTAGAATTATTAATCTTCATAACTGTGAAGAAAATTTTAACCTACTTCAACAATATCATCTTTACTTATTTTTAATATCAACACTAAGCATAAAAATAATGGAAGTGTCTTTATGAACTATGACAGACTGGTTAAAAAAAAAAGGTGGGGAGCTCCCTATAATACCAGTGGTTCTCAAGATTTTTGGATTCCACAAACCAGTTCAATTTTAAAAATAATACTGGATCAACGCTGAGTTGTCAACTTTCATACTGCCAAGGAGGAACAGTGATGGCAGTGAGGGAAGACCACTGTGATCACCCGTAATTTCCAGAACCAAAGAACACTGTCACAACAACGGTGTAGAAAGGGCATGTTTTTTCTCAAGAAAGAACAGTTAGCAAGTCTGTATCAAAATAAATACTATATACACACATACTTCATTGTGGATGAATGAAAAATTCACTGCTAATCAGCGTTTGGGAACCAGGTTTTAAACAATACCTTTCATAGGGTGTCCAAGATTTAGCAGATTTCATTCACAATTAGTGGTGGTCATATCACATAAGAAAGCTCTGCTTATGTCAGAAAGTATAAATTGCAAATATTTACAAAGAGAAAGGTTATAAGAATATTCAACTTCAAAATAAGACCACCTGTGATATACTCACATGAACAGCAGCTTTAGTTGGTATAACACTAAGTGACTATGTTTCCAAGGAAAAAATTACCCTGTGATTCCCAAATTTTTTAAATAAACATCCCTCCAGACCTAAAAATCATGTACTAGGCAAAAATCACAAAGATGCACAGAACAGTATACATTATAGAACAATATCAAAAGGCAAAAATTACGATAATCTCAAAAAGTAATTACAAGACTTGGTCAGAAAAATACTTTCTTAGAATTTGTTAGGTTAATAAAAGTACAGGGTTTTGGGGAAGGGTATAGCTCAAGTGGTAGAGTGCATGCTCAGCATGCACAAGATCCTGGGTTCAATCCCCAGTACTTCCTCTAAAAATCAATAAATAAATAAACCTAATTAATCCCCCCCTCCCCAAAAAATAAAAAAATTTTTAAGAGAAAAATTAATAAGTAAAACTACAGGGTTTGGATTTTCAAAGTAGAAACTTAAAGCCGGGGTTGGGAGGTGGGGGCGGGGGAGCTGAACCTTAACGAAATGTCCAAATGCACAGCGATCTGCGTTTAGGTGCCTGCACAGGTATTTATAATTTGTGTTTCCTCTATCAAGTATATAAAACTTATTTTCATGGCCAGAATTATTCCAAGTTAGGTCATAAATAAAAACCAGCAGATTTTCACGTTAAAAATTTTAAACAGAGAATCTGACAGGTAGCTTTTCTCATCATTGGCTGCACAGAACACTAAGACATCTTTGAGGAGGCAGAGGCTCTATGATCAATTAAGTCTGGGAAACGTTTCATACTTTCCTCTCCTCCCAGAGGTTTATAGTGTCGGGTGACAGTGAAGGCTCAAAGAAGTCCATAAGAAACTGATTTAACTTTGCTTAACATAGCATTTCTCAAACTTATTTGCCACAAATCTCTTAAAATAATAGGTAACATCCATGTATTACGTGTAGGTACTGTGCTAAGTACTTCTCAGGCATTATCTGATTCATTCTCCAGGCAACCCTATGGGTAAGAACTATTATTATTGCCATTTTATATATGAGGAAACCAAGGCATAATGAGCTTAAGAAACCTGGCCAAGGCATACAGATACAGTGGGAGAGGACGGATGCGAACCCAGGTCAGCCTCTCTCTGACACCCATGACATCAGCCACGGTGCTACCCATCCAGCACTTCTTACAGAAGCAGCAGTCCACGAAACCATGCTATAGGGTCTGCTAAAGGGCACAGCTGGGGAAAGTCAGAACTTGCAAGTACTCAATGCTATAATCGTAAGAAATAAGGGAAATTATTTGGCCTAATTTTTACTTTCACATAAGTTATTTAAAGGTTCTATATATGATGGTAAAATCTGTTGAAAAATAACCAATGGCTCATTTAAAATGAAAAGATATTAATTTACCTAAAAATAATTTCTAGTATAACTACTTTGTTGAATACTATATCTATTTCCATAGTTTTAAAATTAGGCAGTATGAATGTATTTTATCATTTTATATCTAAACCTTTATAACTGCCTTCCTCACCCAAAGTAAACAAAGTAAAGAGACTGAAAAAGCACCCAAAGTACACTAAACACAGTAGTTTTTAAAAATCCACAAAATAGCAATGACTTTTTATTCTCCAATTTGAGAACGTAGGTGAGTGTGACAAACCTACTGCAAAAATCACGTTGCAGATATTTAAGAAGCCACTTCAGTAGGAACACCTATTTCACTCACAAGTCGTTCTTTTAAAGGCTAAGTACAACTCTTGTCTTTTAAAACACATTAAAATTTAAAGGATTATTTTGGTGGTTAAATGGTAGAAAATAATTCTGCCTGGATTAACTGTGCTGTAAGATATAGGTTAAAGATAAAGTTTGAGAATCTCTCTATTAATCTGTTACATGATTCTATTTTTTAACCATTCAGCTGCTGCTGTACATCTATTTGTTCGAAAGACAACTAAGTTGCCTAGACTTGCGGAGAATGGCTCCTCTAAGTCTTCCCATTCTCAACAATTTGCTAAGTAGCCTTTTCCCAACGATAGAACAAGATTGGTAAAATCTATTCTCATTATCCTACAAACTAGACTAGTCAACTAAGATAAATCTGTTCTTCAGAGGGGTCACTATGGCTCAAGTTAAGAACACAGACTCTAGGTTTAAATTCTAACCTTCACATTTACGACCACTGAAGATTTTTGCAAGATACTTTAATCCTTCTGTGCCTCAATTTCCTTACCTCTAAAATGAAATCATAATAACATCCACTCCATAGCTGGAGGATTAAATGAGTTGTATGTAAAATATTCAGAATACTGCCCGGTGCACGTAAGCCCTATTTAAGTGTTGGTGGTTATTGAGAAACATTTCTTTGTCTGTATTCTTTAAACCTAGCTCAGGTTCTCTGTATTTGAGAATTCAACCTACGGGTTCTAAGTTTTGGATTAGATCTCTCAATAAGCAAACCTAGAAGGGAGCCAAAAATCATTTACTTGCAGTTTCTGAAATTTCTCAAAATCTTATTATATTCAAATAGTACTTGAAAAAAAAAATCACTGCTTCCTTGACTGATGTTTTCCCTATACATAGGTAGTAGGTTAAAAAAATTATTCCTCACATAAGATACAAAAAGCTTCAGTAAACTGAATTTATCTGAATCTTTTCTAAGCAGAGATTATAAACTTGATGATACATACTATGTTTAATATCTGATTTGTCAGAAAGAGAAGATTTGGAATATCAGACAAGTGTGACTCCATCATTTCTAATGTTCAAAACTGAAAAAAAAAACCAAGTAGAAATAATTTAATAAACATTTCATAATTTTTTTTTTACCTAAATTTTCAAGGTCTTTCTTGGTGACAAATTTGTAATCATCATAAACTGTGCTTTCTGGATTCTCTTCTAGTTCTTCTGTCAGGTTGTCTAAGAAGGAACACCACCTGGGAGCAGGACCTAAAACCTGCAGATTAAAAGGTTAGCAAACGTACACTCTCACCATGTCAACTAGGAGCTCGTTATTTTACAACCGAATTTCCTTAAATATAATTTTAAAACCCTGGATTCTATCACAAGTGCTGAAAAACAACTGCAATGTGCATAATCAAGTCTACAATGAAAGAGAATAAACAAAGCAGGAAGAATTTAGGCTTATAAGGGAATAAAATCTCAGGTTGGGATACAATGATATCAGTGAATATTCTTACATAAGAACTATGAAAATACAAATAATTTCAGGTACTAATAATAATATTCATCCATATTTCTATCATCTCTTTCACTCAGAACAGTACTAGCATCCCCAAAAGCATACTTGGTACACCAGATTTTTAAAGTTTGCCACTCAAGACAAACAAAGTATAAAATGTAAAATTTAAGGGTTATCAACTAACTACCTGATCATTACATTTTATCTTATATGGTCCACTTCACTTAATTCATTCAAAATTAAAATTCTGTATATAGAATTCTTCAGATTTAATCTAAAATGGGTTGCCAGGATCCATAATTAGTCCCAGTGAAAGGCTGAGGAACAAAGGGTTGAACAGAATTTATAACCATGTAATAAAATATGAATACTTCAATTTGTAATTCAATTAGTTCCATAAAATACTGTGACTGCTTTTTGCTTTTTTGCCCTTGATACAAATCTTTCCCAGCAGATGCCTTGCCCACTGAGGTCAATGCATATCCCAAAGGAAGGGACACTCAGTGGGAAAGCCACAATACTGAAATCCTCTCTCGTAGGGGAGGCATTCAGAAGCGAGAGCACTGGGCTCTTACAAAATGGAACTTCCACTGACTGCTTGCCTGTGTATTTTGATAGTAATCAATTATACAGGAAAAAAACCCCCAAAACTCGTAAGGGAAATTATTAAATCTAGCTTAACCTTTTTGGAGAAGGAAAGGTAGGCACAAGAGAGTTATAACAAAGAAACACAGACCCTAATACCCTCTTTAATCATTAAAAAGAAAAAAAGCAGATGTTAGATAGTGCCACTCTAATTTAGTTACATTATTTTGCCTGATTAGTGAAGGTGACCCCGCCACTCCCACCAAAGGCTATGGGGCTCATAAACACGAAAAACAACTCTTAATGAGCATTAAAAAGTCCCATCAAGAAGTTTCTTAATCATATAATCTATACAATTTTTAAAAACAGAAATGACCATCAAAGACAAACCTTCAAGAAATGCAAGGCATTTAAAAAAAATTCAGTGTAGACCACTTTAAAGAAATTGCTATTATCTTGAGCAATTTTAGGACAGTAGCTTGAAGTCAAAAAATACTGATATTAATTGCTCCTACATACAAAGCACTGCACTAAACCAAAGTCCCCGATCATTCTCTTCTCTCCCCAGGTGTTAAAAACCTAGCTGAGCATACGTTATGCATGCGCATACATGCTCAGGCATTTAAAGCAGTGAACTGAGATTGTGCTGAGTCCATGGGGGAGACGGGTGAGGGCTGGATGAAACAGGCTGTGCTGGGGTACCCAGTAAGTATATCTGAAAGGACTTCAGGTTGGAATGAACACATGAGCAAGCTAGGAAGACCATGGGGCATCCTCTGAGAGTCAGAGTTTAGGCACCTGCAACTACAAGGGTATCTGCTTCCTGTCAGTCATAAATCCGCAAAAGCAAAGCTCTATCATATACTGGCATACAACCGAGGACAGCCACCTTCTCCTCTTTTAGAGAGGAGGAAAATACACTACTAGCACTTTTCTAGAATGTAAGATCCAAGATACTGTCCTCCTGGGAGGGTTTAAGCTTCATCTGTTTTAAGTGCTTAATTTCTAGTACATAGAACATTCCCTGCCAAGTAGTAGGTGTTCAATAAATGTTTCATAAATAAATCCATTCACATATAAAGCACATATGAATACATTCATGAATTTCATTGCACAAAGTATTAAGACTCAGAGGGTCCTGTTTGGTGAAAGTATTTTTTGAATTCTCTAACTGTCCTTATTCAGATAAAAACACTGAAATACCTCACCATAAAACTACTGGATATAAGAACACTTTTTGATGAAAGTCAGATTTATTTTGCCTTTTATACAAGGGAGCACTGGTTACCAGAGGGCCTCATAATAAAGTAGTTCCACCTTTAAAGCTTACATCAGTCTTAAACATGGGCTTCAAAGACAATGGATAGATTATTACACTGTGTTTACTGACTTTTCTTGGGGGGTGAGGGGTAGGAATATCATAATATCAGACCAGATCTTACTTTCACATAGTCCTTTTTTATAATGTTCCACAACATCCTTTTTGATTAGTTATCTGGATTCCAACGGAATTGTTTTAAATTGCCTCTCCAGGGACAGGTCTGGTTATGGTAAACAATCTCTGCAATCAAATTCATGGCCATTAAATTTTATAGGAGGAAATATTTCCATCAAAAACAAAATTAAATCTAATGGGCTGATTTTATTAATCACGTTTCCCTACTTCCTATTCAGAGAAAAAAATATCAGAATTACCATAACAAAGTTGAAATTACTGATTTAACTGGTATTAACTGCAGGTTTTATCCACATTAGAGCTTTCCTCAAAGGTCTACCATTAAGTTGCAAAACAGTGGTCACTTAACCAATAAGGAAGGGTCAACCATGTGCACAGTTCTGATATTCCTATAAGGACCAAAACACTAACTACTGTGTAAAAATTCTTTGCTGTCTCTATTCATACATACATTCCTCTTTCAACTACTACTTAAAATATATTAATGTATTCTTACATTCAGGCTTTACAACTTGAAGACAACATGTTTTTAAACAACTGGTATACTATTACTACTACATCAAAACTTTCTAGGTTTTCTGTATTGTCATTATACTGCTATATACTATACTGCAGTAAAAACTTATCGCTTGATTGTCTACATTTTTATGCACCATAAGAGTTTTATTTCAGAAACTTGATGAAGACTGATCTGTTTTAAACTTCTATTGTTTGTTAATGATCTTCCACTTTCTATGTATAAGAATTTCCTAAAATCACACACCCAGTAAACGTAAGGAATTGGATATCTGACTCATCAAACTGCTATCAAGGAATACTGTGAGTCCCTCAGCAACTTTAATGACAATCATATCAATCAATCTAAATGGAAATACTCCATCCTCCAAAACAGGAAAGAATCTTTATCAGCATGCTATAGGAAAGCCTTGACTCAAATGCAGCCAAGTATCTACTTGCTCTAATCCGTTTAGGCAGAAGAACCAAGTTTCAAGTACATGAAAATACATGCCACGTACCCAAGGTCATCTGCCTCTATGATTACAATCTACCTTTAAGATGCTAATTATATTTGCTTAATTTAAAAATTCAAAATTCTCATATTTTCTGGTAATGGACAAATATGACTAAGAGTGGGAAGGAAAGACAATGAATATTAAAATTCTTAGGGGGCTGATAGAGCAGGGTACCCTTGGCCCCATTCCACTTTTGAAAAACCACTATGCCACATCACAAAGTTGTGCTAAGGCAAAAATAAGTATGGAGGATTACTGGATGGATGGTTTTTAACAGATCAAGGGGGATTAAAATAACAACAAAGTACTATTAGAGACAAAGAACCAAATTGTACTAATTCAGTATAAATGCTATAATGTATCCTATTTACTTTTAATGCTACTGAATATTTCCTACTATCAAAATGAAAATCACTGATAATATAAAATGGTAATTAAATATGAAATTGTTATCTTGAGTTTTAAACTAATGATTTAAAGAACAATTTAAAAACTTTTAAAACTAAGAAAATTCTTAATTACTCCATTTGGTAGAACTGTATCAACACACAATAAGTAACTTTTTTTTCCCCACAATAACTTTGAACCAAATGGGCTTATGCATGAGAAACTCTAACTGATATATAATTATATTAGAACACACAGAAGTATATAAGATCCCAAAGCTGATTTTTAAAAAATACTCTTTTACACAATTTTCAGAATGCATTACAGCATACAGTGTGAAGTGGGTCTGAGTGAACACTGAAAAGAGAATGGTGACAGTGTAAGAGAGCATAACGTATCACGTGGGAAAAGGACTTAAGTATATTCTTGTAAGTTCAGAGAATACAACCAGACCCGCTAAATGTAAGGAGGCAGATTTTACTTCAATTTTCATTCATCACATATTTGAGTTTCACATTTATTATGTTCCAGGCACAGTATACTCTATAACATTAGGTAGCAGAATGAAACCAAATGGGAAACGTTAATTCACACACAACACTTGTGTGAAGGACTAGTGATTCTTAATTTCCTCAACTTCACTCATTCATTCCAAAACTTACTAAAAGCTAAGTGCTTACTGTCAAATATAAAGTCTAGAAAGCAATCAAGTACAACATAATGTGATTAGTGCCACAGAAGAGAAATTCTAGAATGTTTCTGGGGAGCCCTCTATCTGCTGAGGCAGGAGATCAAGATATCTTTGAAGGAGACATTTGAACTAGGCCTTGAAAAATGGTAAGGGGTTATGATTTTGTATTCAGTAAAACAACTGCCATACCAAATAGAATTTAATGTTATAGAAAATTAATATATATTTTACTCATTATTAATTATAAGGAAGATGCTTTGTTAGAAGAATTATCAATTTTACTTTTTAGTGATCTTATAGCACTATAATCCTAGAAACTCAATTTAAACATTATTTAGGTTATAATGACACCACTGAACAGATAAGCTACAATGGAGTTTAAATAAAAAATAATTTTACCACTGAGCTACCATGTAAATTATCTATTTATTTTGTTATAGAACTGTTTTCAGGACATTCTAAATGTAAAAATAAATATCAGTTTCTGGAACTAGAACAGTAATAAAAACAATGATAAGAATAGCAAAATTAACAACCGTAGTGAGGGCCCAGAGCTCACGCTCTAAGCGGTGGGGAGTTCCACCCCTTACCAGAATTTAACACTCATCTAATTTGAAATCTG